CCCCCCCCCCCCCCCCCCGAGTCACGAACGCTCGCGCTCTATTCGCCTCCTCACTTCTTATCTTATCTACAAACAAGCGAGATTCAACGCTACTTAGAGCGTTCTTGTTCTCTTTAATTTTGGTGTACTATGATGCTGGGAACATGGACATGATGTCAATTAAGTGAAAGGTTTTTTTCCCCTTCAAAAAAAGAGGTTGACTACAGCACACAATGGACTATAAAGTGTGCGCATTAGCGAGGTTGACTTTATATGAGAATCTGTTGATTGGGGATGAAAAAAACGTCCATTATCCACTTTAACAGGTCAGTCTGTATTAAGTGGGTAAAATAAAGAGAAAAATTAAGGGTTTCCCCCAGTGACCAAGGAAACTTCCCATAATAACAGGGTGTCCACATTAAGCTGGTGTCCGTAAAGAGGAGTTTGACTGTATGATACAGGACAAACATAATCTAATAATAATAGAGGCTTAGTGCCCACCAAGTTTTTCAGTGTGTATGTATTCCAGCTACAGTGACAGGATATTACTATAATGGCATAGTTTTTACACTAAATCAACAAAACTCAGAAACCCAGGCATTGTTTGGGATACAAGAGAGCCTTTATTAATCATAACAAAATAAAATACATGGTAAATAACTAAAACGTAATATTTAGTATAAAAATAAAGTGCTCCAACAAATAAGAAAGACCAAACGAAAAAAGAATTAAAACAACCTCAGTCATATGATAAAAGTGATCACACTGTCCATGAATAGAACAAAACAAAACCCTACAGGGAGGGAGGGAAATGATTGCTAGTGCAATAAAAGTGAATGTTGCTACTGCAATGCCAAGTGAGAATGTGGCTAAACTAGAATTGTATCCGTCTGTAACCCATATTACAGTCGTGGTATTCCTATCTACCCTAAAACTACTATATCCTAGGTAGTAGACACATGCTATTATGAAATCTCTCGTGCCAAAAAACTACTGTGATGCTGTACTAGTCCTGCATCTTAATGTGACACCTTCCTTTGAGATTTAGAACCGCATCAGTCGTCCCAACTGATGGGCCCGCTTAATAACAGTAATTTAAAGCAACAATTTTTTTTAAAAAATATAGAGATATAAATATATACAATATTTTTTTGTCTTGTGAAAAACCATTCTATTAAATTAATATTTTGACACGAACAATAGTAAAGTCTGCACATCTATTTCATTTGTCAAAGCAGTTTTTCAAAATACAACTTTCAAATTATGTTTACGTCCTCTCAGTGACTATTTAACAGCTATTAGAACACGAATACGTCCACTTGCATTATTTTCATCCGCAATGGGGTTTTGCAATTTGCAATAAGCAGACAGAAGTCCGTTAATGACTGCATACGACTCTTCGCGAGTGCAATTTCTACAAATTTTATATATTTCTTTGACCTTCGCATATTTCCAAGATGTGTGACGATTCAATATACTGGAAATTTATATACAGCAAGAATAATTAGCATTAAGATTATCATTATCAATCCTTCGATCGAAATAAGATTTTAGCGCGTATGGTATTGCGCTCGAAGTAGAATAAAGCAGACTTCTCCAGGTCGAAGCTGTGCTCGCAGAAATTACTTCAAACAGGACTTCTTAAAACCGTTCCACTTAAAATGTATCGCGGTGTTCATATTCCCTATTCTTCCAATTCGATCGGAGTCGTCGAGTTGTTTCGAGTCTCTTGAAATATTATCAGAAATCCACGGGTGTTTACAGAAAGCGTTCTCGATCATTAACGTCTTGATATTTGTAAATCGAACGCTATGACGCATAAAATAATCTCGATTAATCGGCTCCGTATTGCTGTTACTTTTCTTCAAGATACATTCCACCCAAAGCAATCGACAGCTGTTTGCTTCGAAGTTTCTGTTCGACATTTCTGTCGAGCTTAGTCCTTTCGCGGTTAAGTCAATGTTTTGGTTGAGCTCTGAGCCAATCAGATTGCAGGAAATTACATATCCAGATCTGGTTGTGGCCAGGACTGTTCACTTCCCCTTTTCAACGCTGATAATGTTAGGGACCTTAAGATCCGACGACGGCAACGAGAACGAGAACGTCAAAACAACACCAACAACAGTTTTGTAAGTGCACCACGCACGACTACGACATGAAATTGCCTATTTTCACGATTTACGGAGGAAGTACGCAAGCGACGACGAAATTTCCTCTCTCTTTCTAAACTTGGATATGGTTCTTAGGGATTCAACTTTAAGAGGGTTAACCTACATTTGAAAAAGTTAGCGACTTGGAGTAATTGCGATGAAGATTGACAGAACGCGAATTCACTTTTACAGCGACGTTTTTGCTGCCGTCGCCGTTCCTGGATCTTAAAGTCCCTAATTTATCCGGGATGTTCTGAACCTTCAAATTTTGTTTTCCAACCTAGTTCGAAACATTGCCATAAAAATGCGTTTTTATTAAATCTAATTGGACTCCTTTTCGATAAATCTGAGTTTTAAGCTAAATCATCTTGTTCAAATTTATGACATGAATGTACATGGCGGTAAAAGTATGCTCGGCATATATTTTATCCTACTCTTTGATATGGGTGTCAGATTACATATAATGAGGTCTAAAAGATGGCTCATTGATTTCAGAATTATCAAGTTGACAAACTCCCGAGAAGAATAATTCAAGGAAGCGAAGACATGCAGGTAAAAATCATAGTTAAAACTGATTAGCCGAGCCCAGTACCTAAGAAAATTTGGTTATCTATTCATACGAGACATTTTGGTAGTCACGTGACATACCACTGGGAAACCATGGTGAATTGTCACACGTTCTAGCTAGTAGAGTGGAAGCCTGCAATGTGATATTGCACATCCATTTTGTGGTCAATTGACAACTGTCAAAACATGGTATCACATGACCATATCGCGGGCTCAAGTGTCGATCCAAAGAGGTTACGCGTTTTTTTGAAAGCCTCCGCTGACAAGTTACTAGTTTTCAACTGATCGCAGGCTCAACTCCTTGAGGATTTCTTTGCAATGGGTTCAAGTTTGTTTTTTGGAAGTAAATTATAAATTTGTTAACGGGAGCTTCGTCCTTAGCCTTTGGTCCTCTTCATTAGCAAGCATTTTATGTGAACTGAACACTGATTATTGTGGTTATTTCACTAAAAGAGAGTATGTACCTTATTCAGGTCGTTCGCTATCAAGCATTTGGTCATTATCATACCCACTTTGATTCCGGCCTGGAACTTAACATCCCCTGTTGTCATCAAACCCTTCGTTAAGGACTCCACAATACCGCATTTGTAGGTAAGTTCGATCAACCTACAAGCAGTTAAGCAAAGTACATGAACTCAGTTTCCAGAGAAATTCTCTTTAAAGCACAACACAACTGAATTTACCCGTGCAATGCAATTTAGCATTTTGGCTTAATCCGCCGGTAAGCCCTAACAGTTAATGCTACAGGGTACTCCGCCAGGTCAATCATATACAATATAGTACGTTCCAGAACCAGAATCATGCTTCTCCTTGAGTGGAAAAGAGGTTGCAGATAGATAGACAGGTTAAAAATAAAAAGCTAGAACACGCCTTGGATTCAGGGTTCCAGACACTGGATTCCAGTCTTTGTCAGTGGAACCTGGACTCAAAGGTTCAATTCCTGTCGTGTACTCAGATTTTTTCTTTGTCCCATGATCCTGACTTGTTGATCACATCATTTCTCAAAATGATATTGTTGCAGAAACCAAACAACCATCCGGCGGCAGAGGAATAAATGCACTGAATGGTTGATGCTCTATTTGGCGTAAGGAAGATGTAGCCATAAAATTATCAAAGACAGTTTGCTATTTTGTTACTCAATAAACAGTTAGGAAATCATATTTTTGTTTCGAATATTCTGTGAGGTACACGCTATCACCAAGAAGGAAAAGAGCAAATGATTACCTTATTAAGAAAACTTAAGTTTTAATGAACGAATTTCCAAGATCCGAAGCCTGTGTTCTGTACGTTTTCTCTTGCTAACTCTCGAAGACTACTGCTATTAAAACCCCGCTGTTTACCACTCTTACGTCAACATTCACTAATTTGAGTGGGAAAGTCTAACCTCTACTAAGAGATGAACCACTACAAGAAGCTTGAGATGTTTCAAAGATATATTACAGATGCATTCTGATGAGGCTGATAAATCTGTATTTGCAGGTTCATTACGATTCTCTGTTATTTCAATGACGTCGAGCAGGGAGGAGAAACAGCATTTCCAGTAGCTGACAATTTCACAGTGAAGTGGAAGGTAGGAGATTCTTATATTGCCCGGCAATCCCTTGTAAATGTCCAAGGTGAAGAAAAGTGTTACTGGTTTGCTGTCTACTGGAATATTTGTAATATTGGATCACACGGAACCGAAATTTCTGCTCAGTCCGTAGGTTTGACTTGTTAATGTTTAACTAATCAGTGTGCAAGTTATACTCACGTAACAAATTACGGTGTAAATTTTATCAGCACTCGTGTTTACAAGAGTTTAACAGATATTCGCAGTAACTGTCACTCATAGGTCCGTGGGCGTAAAGAAGAAGTGTTCTAACTGCAATTGCAATGAACAATAAAGAAATAAAATTCACGATTTCATGTCATGCGGCTACGTACAGTATCTCAATTTGTTCGCTTTTTATTCCCTCCTAGGACCTTGAAAATGCAGAAGCGGTTGAATATAATCTGAGTATAAACTGTCATACAGCCAACTTGGTTATTCCTCCCAAGAAAGGCACCGCTGTCACGTGGTACAACAACTTCATCGACCTGGACAGCGGTCTTCTTGGAAAGCTTGACCGAAACTTGTTGCATGGTGGATGTGATGTAATTAAGGGGGAGAAGTGGATAGCTAACAACTGGCTGACAGCGCCTACTGTGGACTCTAAATACCTTAAAAGTTCTTATGATGTTGGATTCAGCGACTAAACAATGTTAGTTTATTTTTATTCTTGTCAAATGACAATTTTTTTTATGTACGGGCGAAGTTTCTAAGGCAAAAAGAGTTAGTTGCGAGTAGCGAGAAATAAACTACAGTCTGGAATTAAGGATTATGTAGCTGTGCCGGAATTGACACACTCTTCTGACTAATTATGACATTCAAAAAGCCTCCTAGGTCTCTCTACTTAGCTTTGAGTAACTACTACTGAACTTACCATCACCACTGACAAGCTTAACTATGAAGTCGATTTCCTGGTCTTTCACTGAACACCTTTAATCGGACATTTACAGACCCTGTATGACCCCTGTGATCCGGCCGAATCTCTTTATTTCATACAACAAATAATAAAACTTGCAGTTATGGCGAAAATGGGTCGAGGCGATCGTTGCCTCCTTTAGAAAAGTAAACCCGACCACAGTACAATTAAATTAAAATTGTATGTGCGGCATTCATCAGTTGTTTTGCCTGTTTGTTCACGTGTGTAGTTGGTTCCCTTTGATCCCTTGCAAGGAAAAGAAAATAATAATAATAAAAATGATAATAATAATAATAAAAATAAAACGAATTCGATCTGGAACACCCAAACACTTACTAACTGTTTAGCCTCTAAGGTGAGCCGAGGTATGAGCGAATTTATGCGTGACACCAGTATATTACAGTGGTGGATCCAGACCTTCAGATAAGNGGATGCTTCTTGGAAATAAGGTGCTACTTAAGACAACTGCTTGTGGTTTGAAAAAAAAAAAGCCCCTTGCGGCTAATTAATAATTAAAAGTGGTACAATCATACCTTGGCAGACAACCAGTTGGTCAACAGAAAAAAAAGGAGTTAGTTGTATGACTAAAAGTGGTGATTCCTTTCTTTTTAAGGTCCTACTGAGTTGTTCGTGTCCCAGCGAGGAAATTTTTTGTGCCATGTGATTGTCCGGAGGAAAAATGAGGAAACCCTAGGCGGGGTTGGGGGGGAAGGGAATTTTATCCTCAGTCTTATACGTCTAGCTACAGGAGTTTGCGGGTAAACAATTCACGCATTTGAAAGGTGTGCGTATCACATAGTTTTATGATGTAAGTGCCGGACCGCACTTTTATTTACGCAACAGTTCATTAAAATCCACACTCACGGTTTAAGCTTTACTAACGGTTAACGCTCTCTATCAATGTACTATTCAACTCAGATACTTTTATATATCAACTGATGGTTTCTATTTTCAACGTTTCTTTCATCTCGAGGCTCTCACCCAAAATAAAGCTAAAAATTTATTTCAAAAAATACAACTTTCAAGCTCGATTTATCCACTCTATCTGATAAAAACAAAAATAACTGAAAGGAATGTGCATAAATTTGAGAGTCTTCTGCATGAAAGAAAGGGAATGAAACTACTCAGTTACATGCGTCAGAGAGTCGATATCAATCAAACCCAACATCGAACATGCTCCTGATGTGTCTTGATTGTTTAGTGGGCGCTGTGAGCCAGTTGTTAGCAATCCACTTTTCCCCTTTAATGACGTCACAACCACCATGTAGTGTGTAATGATCCACTGCACCAAGAAGACCGCTGTCTGAGTCGATGAAACTGTTATACCACATGATGGCGGTGCCTTTCTTGGGGGCAATAACCAAGTTGGCCGAGTTACAATTAATGCTCAAATTAAACTCGTCTGTTGCGGCCTTTGAATTATAAATGTCCTGGAAAATAATACAAGCCCAGTCATCGTTTTCAAAATACAACTAGAGATATGCATGAGCGTTAAAAGGTAATGTTAAAGAGAGCGTTCACACCCTTTGTCTTTCACAGACAAAAAGTTTAGTCTTATTCATTTGGAACTAAGCGAAGTATTGTTAGTAACGTTTTTCCAAAATCTCATCAATGAAATACAAAGATTAAGCCTACTTACATGATAGTTTCTTACAGTGTAACAACTTTAACTGGGGCTATACAGACATTTTCAAATTTTAAACGAATTAACAAAGTCAGGCTCCTTTAATATTATCATAAACGTCATCCCGTGATATGGCGATTGATTTTAGCTGAGCTTGCCCGGTTGAGTTCGTTGCACTGTTAATCATGTGTTACTACCGTGGTTTTTCTCTTTTCCTTTCCTTCACTTTTAATAAACCATTGTCGAGGTTCCAAAAACTCTAACTTTCAAACGAGGCTAAGTGCAAACCCTTTTTTTGTAAAAATGATTTTTTTTGTAACGAGAATACATAATCACTTTCATATCAATGACTTCGCGCTTAGCCTTAAATATTTAATAATGCTTTGTTTATTTCTCCGAACTATTGTAGTTTTCAAACCTCACGATCGATTGGGAGTTTAAAAAATATATTCCCAAAAACTGCCGAAATACAATTGATGTCCTCAATAAAGAAGACGCCTAACTTAATAAAGACTTACATCTGGAGTTGTTGTGGTGTTGTCAGCAATTAAAAAAGCAGTTTCGCCACCTTCTTCCACGTCATTCAAGTAATACAGGATTGTAATAAATCTGAAAAAATTAAATTTTACCCCAGAGACAGTTGTCGCGTTCTACGATAAGATAGTTTTTTATATATATAATCACATTCTGGAGTGATCTGCACAAAATTAACAAGACCGCTACCTTAGTTGTAACTTTGACACTACTGCTTTGGCTAGGCTTTCATTCCTTCTCGTATAAAGGCTATCACAGGACGAAAAAACGTGTTTCCGTATTTTGTAAACTCGACTGAAACGTGAAGTTGCTTAAATCCGTCTCGTTTCCGCCCTGCGGAAACATGGTGATCTAGTTTTCCATGGACGGGTCGCGTTTCCGTTATGTTTCCGAGTCGGAAACGAACGATCATGTTTCCGCCACATTTCTGTTATCACATTTCCGTTCTTTCTTGTTTCCATTACGTTTATTATAGGGAGTAATAATAAAAACCAGTAACAGCTGACACTACAGCTGCCCCCGCTCTGTATATTGTCGGTCAATAGCATTCTTGCTCGTTGTGAAGCTCTTTAAAATATACCGATTCATAATGAAGATTTTCACACATATTCCATACAATAGGTGAGATAAATACTGGAAACGCAAGGTTCCATGCACAGTTTCAGTTCGATTTACACAGCTTTGATCAAAACATTCTCAGTTTCGAGAATATTTTATTCCAAACCATAAGAAACGGTTTCATTAGAAGTTGAATTTTTCGCTATTTCTCTTTCACTTTTTACATTCAGTTGATTTTATTTGTAGGAAAGTAAGCCTTAGAAATTAATAGGACGTTTGACTCTATTCACGCTCGCGCATTCTAGTCTTATTTTAAACTTTATAGCGGAAGGACATCTGTGAGCAGGGAAGAAGTCAGCACAGAATTAGACTGTCGGCGAATTTCTGTAATCGTCCATCGTTCTGCTAGTAATAAGCTAACTGTTGTTCACTCGTCTTGCTTGTTTGGGGCTGAGTTGTTTTGCCTCGATATTTTTGACCAACCAGTTGGATTTTACTAAAACAATTGTTCCTCTCGCCCTCATGGCCTCTGAGTCAATAGCTCATTCGGCCCATATTAAGAAATATTAATTCCAAAAAAAACATAATTAAAATAAAGTATATATGTTAAACTACTTGTGTTCTGGGTAGAACGTATTTCGTAGAGCGCTCAATTCATTTAATTGAAGAGCCTTAACTATTAATAATCACAGGAGTTCAGGCTTCAGGAGTAATCATCGATCGTTTATTGCGACAGTGCTGTTTCGTATGGTCCGAAATTGTAGGACCACACTCATCAGGCAACTGCAACGATTGACCGTTAAAATTAAAAGCTGGCAGTAAAATTTGGGTGGTTGTTATAGGGATGCGTTAAGAGATTGTATCTAGGTAACAGATGGATTTTGTCTTAGTTACGTTAATGTAGAGTTCTGAAGTACATATCTGTTTCTGTGGGGGTATGAACTCGCTAGTTCGTTTCGCCTCTTTAGGCTACAAAGCTCTTTTTTACAAATGATGATATGATGAACTTTTCATAAAGACAAAGATTACATTTTTTGCTAATGTTGCTAGAGGTTTTACACTTCTTTAAAACTTTCCATTTTATCTGGAAAGGTTTCTAAGAGTCTTGTAAAGTCCAAATATATTTTGAGAGTTCCGTTTCATTTCTTCTGTTCGAGCGTAAAAGCTAAAGTAACCCCCGCCCTAGGCGGTCTCGGTGGATAACACCCTCAGCCAGAAAACAAAAAGTTGCTTCAGCAAATTTTGGATAGCCTGGAACCTGCAGATTCCGCAAACCACCGCTCGGTTAAGCTTTCTTTCAGTTCGCTCACAGATTTTTTATGCCGTTTTTGTTATTTTTACAGCGGAGCCTGGTCCTATGCTAATTTTGGAGGACGTAAAAAGAAATTCTACACTTAATTTATTGTCAACAGCGATAATTGCTCCTGTCCAACTTGGATGAGGTCAGTCTAGCAACAGGACTGTGTGTACCACGTACAATTTCAATATAGTCACCTGCAGACTCTGCAATCTGTTGCCCTTAAGTAATTTTGATGACAGCAAGGGACTGTGGGACCGTTAACCGTAGAGTCCAGATGCGCGTGATAGTGGCCAAATTTCTCATATCGTACAATCTGACAAAATGAAGTTTGTAATTATGATTAATTATTAAATAATCACTGCCGCCAAACGTCTCGAATAGTCCAATCTGGCGATTTGAAGTTTGTGATTATGCATGATTATCAATTTTTTATAGCCAAACGTCTCGAATCGCACATTAGAACAAATGAAGTTGGTTATTATGTTTATACTACTACTCGAGAAATTTTTGCAATTTGATTGGTTTAGAGTAGTGGCATTTCAGCTTAATTTGAAATACCTATATGTGAAAATTACAGACCTTTTGTGGGTAGTAGTATAAACAAATAATAGCATGATTTGTAGTGATATTTGGCATAAATACCACTCGTGATATTTCAAAATTGTCTCAAATTTCACTCGCCTAACGGCTCGTGAAATTACGTATAACAATTTTGAAATATCACTCGTGGTATTTATGCCAAATATCACTACAAATCATGCTATTACCTATACTAATTACGTTTTATAAAGAGGAACAGAAAGTAAAGAACGCCTCATCAAGAAAATGAGAAGCCAAAACAGGCGAGAAATCTTCAATCCTGGTTTAACCGCGGAGGGGTGATATTCTTGACCCCAGAGCTCTTCTCAGTTGCGCATGACTATACGCAGCCATAGGATTCGAAGGCTCTGGTGACGAGATTGGAGTGGTCACTCACTGTAAGAAACTGACTCCTAGAGGGGGTATTCATCGATGTCATATACGGGGAGGCTGCGCCCCGAGACCAGCCCCTGACCCTTTTATATGCCATATAGAAAAGGTACTACTTTAGCATAGCTTACATTAAAAAATAATGCCACTTTCACATACCTACTAATACAGTAATTCTTATCATTATTTTTACGAGGCATTTGACAAATTAAATTGATTCGACCATAAGATGTGTGGGTTCGAAACATAATAGAATTGAATACCCTTTTAATTAAAATGGCCATCTCAAGAAATTCCTACCCCTCTGCCCCTTTTGATTGACTGATTCATTAATTGATTGAATGATTATAAAACATTGTCAGTAACGGCTACTTTTTATCTTGCAAAGAGATGTAGGTTACTTTTTGTAGCATTTTCTAAACTTATTTAACTCTTTCTAGCATAAAATTCACCTGCATCGGTTCTCCTCCTTGGACGATTTTCCTTGGAAGTTTGGTCAGCCTTATGACTCTATGAAAAATACAACTTTTCCTTAAATTATTCGTACACTGGAACTATCAATCATCTTCTTATAGCGTTAGAAGGCTGAAGTAATACTAATTTCAAACAGAAGAAAGAGCAAATATTCAAATTTTTATAATAGTTTGAGTGAACAAGGCCAGTTCAAGAGAGAATAACTGAATCGACAGGGAGGAAATCTTAGGGCGTTGGCAGGGAGATGTGAATTTCATTACAACTATTTTTAGAGTCTCTAATTCTCTCTTGGCCAAATACAGTGCAGTCTTTACCACTGACAACTTTCATAAAGCGATCTTCCCATCACAAACGGCCATCCTTTTATTAAATGCCAGGAACCGAAATCCTAGCGGGCAAAATGTTCGTAATCCGTTCAGATTCAAAAAACCTCTATTCGTTCACGCTTTGGACGTCGGCCATGCTGCCAGTCGAGCGGATGGCACAGCAAAAACGACCCCACGAATAACGTGTGGGTTTCCACTGTGGGCGTAATTTTTACATGCGCACACGCATAGAATTTATGTGGGTAAATAAAATAGAGCCAATGCATGAAAGATCGCGCATAAACGTAAAATTTGAGAGAGGTTCATTTCCTACCTTTACGTGCGACCTTTTTAAACACATTGCCTCTAATTCATTTACACGCGTAAAAATTACGTGCGTAGCGCACGTCCAAATTACGCGGCAGTTGAAATCGGCCTTAAGGGTTACAGGGGAAACAATATCGTTTTTCCGGGATTTTTTTAAAAATGGAAGTCCATAAATATTAGAAGGAACTCATCAAGTGCAGCGCATTAAGCTGTGTTAGAAAGCTTACCTTTCATGAAGCTGTCTCAAAACAGGGTCAGCGGTTTTATCTTGCTGTAACCATGTTTGCTGGCTGAAGCGGAATCTGTGACGTGGACTGTTGTTCTTCAAGAAATCCATATAGTGAAGAATTTTCTTGATATTTAACTTTTTAAAATTATCTGCTGTCAGTTTACCTGTTGAATAAAAACTAAGGCGTGATATGGACTTACAAATAAAATACAAGCTAAGTTTTGTAAGCAATATTCTAAACTGAAATCTTATTCGAATAGCATAAATTTAAAAGAAGCAGACATCCTTCCCGCATCATTTGCTTTTTATATCTGAAACAGTTATAACCATACATACCGTCCAAAAATTTGTCGCTGATGTCCAAGTCTTCAAGCCTAGGTAGCCGACAAAAAGATTCAAAAGATGATATTGGTAAACCTGTGAATTGACTTAGACATCCTTTTAGCATTCTTACTTGTATAACTTACGTACGAAGGGTGAGATTGTGTAAAGTTCTACTAAGGTAAATAAATGTGTTGTTTACATGGCGCGCTTTCTTCGTGACCTTATTCTTCAATCCAATTGAATTATATGTTATTGAAAGAAATATGAAAGAAGAAAAAACATTTAGACGGTTAAAAAAAATATATATCATTGCACTTACATTTTATCCACTTCCTCGTTCGGTAGATAGAGCTGTTTGTGATGCCCGGCAAATTCCTTCACCTTTCAAATTTTAAAGATGTCAATTTGTTGGTCGGATTTTTTTAAAGTAATAATACCAAAAACGTCATAACGCGAGACAGAAGGCTATCAAGCCAATTGAAAACTTGTTTAAATGACTGTTACACACAAGCTACCTTCTATTGGGTGTTTTGACTGCGCCTTTGGGCCTAAGTGCGTGTCAACAATGAAAACGGGCGATTCAAGACTTTCTCTTTAAAAAGAACATACGGTACCTCATCAGTGTCAACATAGCCATCTTTGTTTGTATCCCATTTCTCAAAGTTTCCAGCAAATATCTCATGATGACCAAGTGTCCAATTTCTGTCTGCAAAACAATTCCCGACGTTAATAAACCACCGAGTGTCCTATAGGGTTTTTCAAACCCTTTTCCTCAATCTCGTGGTCTCGATGACTATTTTTTGGCTAATCCTCGTCAAAAGTCCCAGATTCCCCCATCTTCGGAGAACCAATCGCGGGCAGATGTGGGCAACTTATGATAAGTCAAAATGAAATGATTTTTCTACTTTTAAGAAAAATAAATGAAGATCACCTTTTCCAGACAATGCCTATAAAACAATATTTCCACACTTCCGCAATGTTAAAACGTTAAATCCTGCGTTCTGTTGATACAGTATTAATTACAAATCTGAATCCCAGCCTCAACACCCAAAATCCTTCTGGGGACCCTCTTGAGTGGCGCCATCCAATTGAAAAATATGTCAGATAGATTGTAACTTAGCCTGCGCTACAGACGAACCTAAACTCTGGTTAAGTCCGTCTGCGAAACGGCGCCAAAATCTTGTTTTGGGCCCCCACCTGTGTCCCAGGATTTGAGTACGCGCCATGATTGGTCTATTAAAAAAAGCCATTGTCGATTTGCCAATCAGTATGAAAGGAAATTCGAAACTCATTTCTGGTAATTCGCTGAGTCCGCTGGGGGCCCAGAACAAGGATTTCGACGCTGTTTCGCAGAAGTTCCCTACCGGGGTTAAATGACGTCTGCGATGCAGGTTAATCGTAACTATGGGTTAAATGAAAACGAGTCAACGTGTGGTTAATCGCCTTTTAACCCTGGTGAAGGGCTCTTCAGCTCCAACTCACATATTTACGCTCCTCACGAGCTTACCCGTTGAGTACATGACAATGACTAATGTGATGACTAAGTGCTAAGTGCTCGACGTTACAAAAATATTAAGCAGAACCTTTTAGCTAAAGGTTCGGTTGACTTTTTCTTTCCTAATTAACAAAACATTGACATTTGTAGTTTTCGACTTCAAGTAGCTCTCCCTCACCTGCTGTCTCCAATTCTCTGTCCAAGTTTCCGTCGTAGTTGAACTGGAAACCAGAGGTACTAGTCCTAAGCCCGCTTTTTCCAGCCAGTTCGATGATGTGATCACACTCTTCAGATGACAGGAACTCTGGAATTTCTTGAAATTGACAAAGGGGTAAAAGTCAAATTGGCAGTCCCTATTGTAGTCACACTGCATAGAAATAATAGTTATTTATGCAATGTTCATGAAAATGTCCAAAATACGTTTATGTAAAACTTAAATCAATATTTACTGTCCCCCTTTCATTCCAATTCTGTGATATGGAAAATCGTCAGGTAAAAAAATTCATAAGAAGTACTAACCGAACACTACAGGTGTCATTGCTCGTGTGATAAGTTTCACAAATCTCTTATCACTGACCTTCACCCACTGCAAGTGACCTGTCTGAAAGTCAGAGAAAGACGGGTAAAATGATCAAAACAGCAAGGTGTTAACGTTCTAGATTATATCACTATATCATTGCACCTTGAAATTTACATATCATGGCTAGCTATTCGTAAGGCTGAATGGAGCCATCTGATTAGTTAATTTTACAGCACAGACTTCACCACGAAAATAGTCCTTTCGCATAGTTTTTTTTTAATTCCCCACGGGAAATTGAAGCCCTTGAAACACAATTGTGCGAATTCTGAACGGCAGCTTGCTCCCGCCGCTTTTGGTTTCTAAAATGCTTTTCAGTCGTTAGTATACTCTCTTTTGTTCCGTCCACTAACAACCCGTATTTGACCTGCATCACCACCAGCTCGTTCCGATTGTTTCTAAGTTTCTAAAAAAAATCATTTCTGAGGCGCCGCATTTACATTGAATAAAGAAATTTAACCGATAAAAGAAAGTGTTTTAATTACATTCCCCTATTCTCCTTTATGAATTAGAATTACCTTGATACCATTCAGCCTGACAAGCTTGAGTTCCGTGCCCAGTTTCTCATGACACAACTCACTGGGATCTGAGCACGTGTTTTCAATCTCATCGCCAACAAAACATGGCTTCATAAATTTCTTGAATTCTAAACCATAAACATAAGAAGTTCTAAATGAAGAATAACAAATCACAAGGAAAAATATACATCCAAGAATTGTCATTTTCTATCCATGATGGCAAGTTCACTTTCAATATGATGATATTTGTTGTATTCCTTTTTTGTTTGCCAGTGCCGGAAATTCCTTATTGATTTCATTAACCGCAATCCAAAAACATTGCATGCTCAAAAGACTGTGGTCCACTGACATTTCCAGTTAAGAATAATTCCGATTCCTGCTTTTTTTCACTTCAGGATTTTATTCAGTGCTTTGATACCATTAATACAAGTTTTTTTTTGTTTTTTTTTTCGAACGAAAAACCTCATTAAAAGTAAATTTTTATCTTGCTCGTGCTAGAGACAGCGGGCTAGGATTTAGTTCTTCTTTAAAAAAAACTGTTCACCTCGGCGCCATATTCCGCAGCGCATTTAGAAGCCCATACTCACGCTCCAAGAGCGAATGCTTCTCTTTCGTCTGTTTTATTCCTTTTCCAAAAAAGGAAAGATGATTCACTTTTTTTTTGTGCTTTCTACAAACATGGAGTCAGTTGAATCAGTTTTCCAACCGACTGAGTGTTTAATTCTGTGAAAGCTTCCACCGAGTGAATTGATGGCATACTGTAAAGTGATAGTTTGCCGGATTCGTGCATATGCGTGACTTTTTGCATGTTGGTTGGTTGGTTTTTTGGTCTGAAACGTTGTCAGTTTGTCAATAATCAGGTAAGTTACATCGTCAGGAAGTGTACTGAATCATCTGTTGTTAACACAGATGTTGCTAATGCTGAAATCTGAAAAAACAATTCCTCTCACGAGAAGCGGCTTTTTCGCCAGGTTGCAAGCGATGGATTTGTAACATTGTAAGTGCTTCGGTTTTATTTCAGTTTGCACTAAATCGAAATGCTCTACGCTTCTGTTAAAGCCTAGAAAAAAATATCACGGTAATTTAAAAATGCTATAGAAGACCTAAACACGCAGAAAGGTTTATTGCCAAATATTTATCATTTTGAAGAAAGATTTAGAAAAATTTATTTCGGCAGTATGAACTGCGCAAGTCGAGTATGATACTAATAATCAGAATTATGGTAGAACGCGGGTGAGGTTGTCATTTTACATTTGCATTTGATCACTCATATATATACGGCATAACATACTTATTTTGCTACGTTAAGAATAAACTTTTTTTTTTTAATATTTCTTTACTGAAAAAAAAAAGAATAAACTTGAACGTTCATTAACACTACCTTTTCAGGAAAAAAACGTTATCAATCTTTGTCAACTCAGTTTAGTTGACGCCAGGTTCTTAAAATCGTAAGCGGCGCTTTGAGGATTTTGTTGCTACATCTGGGGCCGCACATAGCAGTTAAATTTATTATCTTTTACTCGCAATATCTTTAAACCTCTTGGTTCTAAGATACTGAGGGAAAGTCGTTGCTATAGGAATTTTGCTATCTCACAGTTCATACGTGAAGTTATAAACTAATGCTGAAATTTCGTGCCAAAATTAAGGAACTTGTCACCTATGATATCTTCCTTTATTAAACGCACCTGGCGTTCAATTCAAAGTTGGTCACCAGCCATTTGTTCAAATTTGCTGTCTATTCGGGCCTGTTCTTTCTGAAAAAAAAGTTGTTTTTCCTCTCTTTTTTTTTTAAAGCCGTGTATTTTGCCTTTACACCGTAAGTTTACTATACCACAAATACAAGTTCATAGATCGGGGTAACGTCCCTTAAATACGCGGCGTTTCTATTTAATATTATTCGGCGCGCCCGGCCGTTTTATTGATATTATTGAGAAAAGGCGGTTTATGTATATTTTTCATCTTTGAGTACTTAGTCATGCTTGGCGAGAATACAAACACCATTTGTATTGTACACAAATTTAATTTCGCTTTAGTGTTGGTGGTACACAAACAACATCGCGGCTGAATGGATCAGTCACGTTTAACATACGCCCACCCTGGGTCCTCAACTCGCTATGTATTCCGGCACAATATTTTAGCAAAAGATTGTTCTGCCAAACTCGAATGGCGAAAATAAACGAAACTGTTTTAGTGAATCAAAGTTTCCGGAATTTTAAGGAAGTCCGGTTTTATTTTCGGCATTCTGTTTAGAGTCTACTGAAGGAGGTCCAATCAAAAACGTACACACTCGACGTCTGCTTCAAGTCTTTTAAATAAAATATCATTAAATTTTCTATTCTGTATATTCCTTTATGTTTCCAGATGTTTCCGATTGCTTACAATGTAGGGCGAATATGCTGTTATGTCTGCATGGTGTTATTTCATATATACTAAAATAGCAATGTAACAGCATGACTCAAGTAAAAGACTGGATTGCATGTAATCAAGATGATGTGCTAGCAATAGTACAAATTTCAAAACGGCTGTCAAATGAATTTCTCCCAAGAAAAACAACATCTTCCTCAAGTAGGCCCTAATATTGGCAGCCTGAAAACATATAAGTAGGTCAAATACTCAAAATTCATCAGTTTTAATTTGACAGATAGAACCACGGAGAAAAATCTTTGCACCTGCACAAGGAAAAAAACAGACGAAGACAGTTTTGTCAAACAAGCTACTCCGATCAATGGCAACTAAAAGTCTAAACAAGAACGAAACAAACCTTACGTGTTTTTTCCTGGAGGTTTTCTGGCGACAATCAAGTCACGGCACTTTGAGTATTATATCGTGCGTTGTTAGTTCACTGTTTGCCTTGGCCGCAGTTTTGGGTAATGGCACGATAATGCTTGTAATTTGGAGAACAAGGCAACTTAATTCGACATCATTCACATTGCTCTTTTGCCTGGCGTTTTCTGATTTCCTTGTTGGACTGCTTGGTCAACCGTTCTTTGTCGCTTTTAAAACAGCGGAACTACTTGGCAAGTTCAACGCATATTGTAAGCTGAGACTGTCGCAGTTTTTCATCGGGTGGATAACTGGAGGAATATCTTTTGCAATTCTCAGCGGAGTCTCCATCGACAGACTCCTTGCATTGACTCTTCACCTTCGATACAAAACCATTGTCACAAATCGAAGAGTGTTAACACTGGTAATATCAGTTTGCATATCTATTTCTATTGTGGCAATTTCAAAGTTTTGGATGAGGGACAATTGGGTAATCATGCCTGCAACAATATTCTCGGTGACGACCCTAATGACTGCTGTAAGCACATTTCAAATCTTCCAGATTGCTCGCATGCATCAACGTCAAATATTTCAACAAAACCAAACTTTGGGTCGAACAGACGACGGAACAGTGCACGTACTGAAGTGCAAAAAGTCAGCCGTGACGGTACTTTATGTTTATGGACTGAGGCTAACTTTTTATCTTCCGTTTATTTCAGTTGTCATCATTGAAACGATATTAGGTGTTACTCAGTCAGTTACTCTTGCTTATGACCTTGCTACAGCCACCGTTTTTATAAACTCGTCGTTAAATCCTTTAATCTATTGCTGGAGAATGACTCATTTAAGACTCGCTGTCAAAACGTTTCTTAAAAATTTAATCTGCGTTTAGGTTTAGGTAAACTCTTTGGGGAAAATTTTGTTTTTTTTTTTGTTCGATGAACATGTATTTGACGGCGACATAAATTTAAAAATAAATTCACTAGACCCACTTAAATTTAATGATAAGCAATTTTTAATGTTGCAAAATAACATTCCTTTCTAAAATACTTCTTTTTTTGTAATTTTTTTTTAAACTGGCTTGGGCAACGAGGCACCTTGTTCTAAAAGCTTATCTTTCTTTTTTGGTCAGCAGATTCAAAGATTATAATTTGATAATCTAATTATGTTTCGGGGTGTATTCGGTTGAACTACTAGTTGCGAAAAAACTAGCTGATAGCTAGAAACACTGAAATTTTGTAAATATATTACTTGTATTGTTGAACATCTTACAAAATGTACTTCCCATTCTGGTCATAAGTAAAAACAAAAATTCTACAGATGGATTTTACTAATTGTCAAAATATTGACATTTTATGCTTCATGTGCCTTTCACATGAGTGAGATCTGTTTGCTGGGATACAAAACAATAACGAATCCATTCTGGAATAAATTTGGCCACAAGAGTGGCGTTTTATTTATTATAATTAAATCATGCAAACCTGGAAAAGCCCATATGAACAAGAACATTATCCCAGTAAAGGTGAGGGTACACTCACCATCTAAAGGGCAAGTAAAGCCATTGGGTGGGAAGGAAGAGAAAATCTTCTCTAAATAAATATCGTTTAATCCACTCTCTTGCAGATAACTGAATTAACAAGCGGTTACAACTAACATTATTATTCATTCAAAATATTTCCCCAATTCTGATTGGCTAAAAGCACAGCGTCACGCATAATTCACCATAACCAGTTACTGATGACCAAATTTGGAAGAATTTTGGGTTTACCGAGGAAATGACGTCAAAAATGCAGCCTTCTATAGGTTAATGAACCATTAACCGAGAAGACCTGGGGACGAGATTGAATTGTTTTCGTTGTAAAAACTAAAATTGCGGACACTTCGCTCGTTTCAAGAGTAAGAACTACAGCTGGAACTAGGCGAAATAATGGCTAAAAACATAGCAAAAACAGCAAGAAGCCAACTCGGTGGGCGACGTCTGCTATTTGGAGAATATTTGCGGAGCTGGACAAACCTAAACGTAAACTATCGAAGATAAACTTAACATCGATGCAGGTAAGCTTGTTTCAGCTATGTTTTTAAACTAGGAATAATTTTGAATGAATAATAAAACAATTATTGAATTCGGCTTTCGCATCATAATTAAGAATTATGGAGATCTCGGAGGGTGTTATCCGCTCCGGTCTACGTACTTCCTCGACGGATAACACCCTCCTCGATCTCCATAATTCTTCATAAGATACTCAGCCTCATTCATTAATTGTTAAATAATGCTACATTAAAGCTATGTATTAATTACACTACTTAAAAAAACTACTTAAGAAGATAATCATGACGGATACTTAGACGACGAATATTTAAAAGTAAAAACGTTCTCTGATCTCTTAGTTCTCATGAACTTATTGAATGGTCGAGAAGAACCAGGACTAAGGTTACAAGGT